TGGACAAGAAGTTGTTGCTGGCTTTCTATCATGCCTCTGTGGAGAGCATTCTCACATACTGTTTGGGTGTGTGGTATGCAGGCTCCACAGTTGAGGAAAGGAAAACTGTACAGAGGGTGATAAGCACAGCACAAAAAATCATCGGCTGTCCTTTTCCCTCCCTGGACAACATAGGTCCTGCTGTCTCAGCAGAATCAAGGCCATCATAGGAGACCCCTCACACCCTGCTCATCTTTTTGACCTGCTGCCGTCTGGACGGCGCTTCAGGTCAATAAAATCCCATACAACCAGAATAACTAACAGCTTCTTCCCCTGGGCCATTCGAATTGCAAATAAACACTAAACAACACTACCTCTTTTAGATGTGCAATATTACTGTGTAATTTCATTGTGCATTTTTTATGGTAAAGGCATACAGCTGGCGTTAGATGTGTAGATATATTGTAAATATTGTATTTGTTTTCTAAACTGTGTATTTGGACAGGTGGGTATTTTAATTTATTTTTATTTCTTGTGCTCTTGTTTATCTTGTATTGTGAACTGTTGTTGGGGTACATTCACAGTTTCGTTGTACTTTGTTGTACAATGACAATAAAGTTCTATTCTATTCTATTCTATTCTATTCTATTCTACTCTCTGGCTGGAGGTTCAAAAGTGCAAAATCCAGGACCTCTATATTGAAAAACTCTTTCTTTCTCTCTGCCATCAGACTCCTAAACAGCTGACAGGGGTTTATTACCAGGAAATACATCATGTACTGACGACCTGTACTGTTTACATTCTCAGTTTGCACATGCATAATTGCACATTCAAGGCTGACTACTGCACATGCAGCTCCCACGTAGCATACATTCTCTTATTATATTCTTATATATTTTTATTATATCTCTGCATCTGCTGCTTTAAAGTGCCTTAGATTTTGTGTTATTTATATACTTTACATTTCATTTGTATTTTGTGGCATTCATGTGGATGGCAAAGTAGGAATTTCATTGTACAGGAAAACACGTTTCCTAACTGTGCATATGACAAGTAAAAACTTTGAACCTTGACCAGTGTCAAGTACTGTTGTGAAAATTATACTGCCTGGTTTCAATTTATGTTAGGACCTTTCAGCTTTACTGCCCAGTTTAACTAATTTTTGGGCAAGTAGTCAAACAGTAATTAAAAGTAACAAGTTAAATTACTTTGAACCAATTTAAATAGTTAAATTACTTATTACATTTTAACAAGGTAAACAGTAATCAGTGACCTATTAAATTTCAATACTAACTGTTCAAAAACTGCCAATAATAGATTTACAATTTGTTAAATCACTCATTAATTATGCTTTATAATATCTACCATTTATTGTAATTTTGTCTTGTTTCCACCCTGTGCATTTACAAATAAATTAGTGACCACTGAGACATTTGCTTCATCACATCAGTGACATAATCTCAGAGAGGTAATTATATCACTGTTTCATGGTCACGTGACACAACTACCTGCATTTCTACTGTCTCGCAATAAATGGAATCAAATATAAGCAGCATTTCTCTCATAGCACAGCTCATTTCAGAGAAGTGCACAGTTGAAACTGTCTGATGTGAGATTGGTTACAACAGTTCCCTTCAGTAAACTCTCATTCCTGATTATTATTATTGTGTTGTTTTCTTAGTTTACATTTAGGTAAAGAAATAATGAACCCTGAACAGAAAACTGCTACCACACTAAATGCCACATTTGTTCGTCCTGCACAGTTTTATCTCAGTGGGTTGACCAACATCCCTCATGATAAGTATTTTTATGTCTTCCTGTGTTTTGTCTATATCATGACTGTTCTTGGGAATGGCCTCCTCCTCTCAGTGATTTACCTGGACAAGACTCTTCATACTCCTAAATACACGATTGTGTTCAACCTGGCTTTGATAGATTTGTGTGGGAGCACTGCTCTCATCCCAAAGCTCTTGGACACATTTTTGTTTGACAGGAGATACATTGTCTATGAGGCTTGTTTAAGTTACATGTTCTTTGTTTGGTTCTTTTTAGGTCTGCAGTCATGGACACTTGTGATTATGGCATATGACAGATTTATAGCAATTTGCTTCCCTTTAAGGTATCATAGTATTGTGACCAAACCAGCTATTGCTGTAATGCTGCTGTTTGTGTGGGTTTTTTCACTGAGTGTAGTAGCATGCATGGTTGGCTTTTTTGATCGTCTCTCCTTCTGTCGATCTTTGGTGATACAAAGCTTTTTCTGCGATCATGGACCAACATATCGTTTGGCCTGTAATGACACAAATTTAAATTACATAATGGCAGTTGTTGTCGTAACTGTAGTTGTCGTTATTCCTATTATATTGATAGCACTGACATATATTTACATTGTCAAAGCAGTGAGAAAGATTGCATCAGGAGAGGAACGAGTCAAAGCAGTGAAAACTTTTACTTCTCACCTGACTCTTGTGTCTGTTTTTTTCCTACCGCTTTTGGGCACCAACATAGCTGCTCTGACCTGGTCTCTTCCTCTTAATATCAGGATCTTTGACTCTACTTTGACACACATCATACCACCTTTGCTCAATCCTATTATATACTCTCTAAAAACAGAAGAAGTGTTGAACTCTATCAAGAAACTTTACCAAAGAAATAGGCTTAGCAGCATAACCGTTTCCAAAAAGTGGCCTTTTTATCACAATTGTACTGACAAAGAAAGAAAAAAAGTTTGCAGTAGCATAAATGTGTTTTTTAAAATGTAATTCTTATTAGCAGATACTAAAGACTGTGGTTATTAGGTTACATTTTGTCATTTACTGTATTTTGCTTTTGCAGTAGCCAAATAATGATCTGCATAGTAAAGTGACATCAGGGATGTCAGAAATTTGGAAAAAAAGAAACCATGATCCACTGTCATCATCAACTGTTGTTTTATAATGCTTTAGCAAAAAGATGTAAATATTAAGATCTGTTAAAATATTACAAATATGTATTTTAAAATGGCATTACAATACAGAAAATTTACATTTATGTTCAACTCTTGGTAATGGCATGATGATAAATATTTAACCAGTCAGAAATTAAGCATGTCTGAATCAGCTTAAAGTAAAAGAAATGGATCGATCATTCCCTTTTACCAACATTTTATAATATCAATAATTTAAAATGAGACCAAATTATTTGGATATTGACCCGTTGGCTTTATCGACATCTTTGGTTTGACTTTATTAACAATGAACTCTGAAGGGGCTGTGTGTAATTGATTGTGGCACATTGGCAGTAACTCCACAATTTTCTGATGAAGTATTGCAATTTTGTATCAGTCTTGTTACCTTAAATGTTTTCCTGTGTACAAACATGTGAGCTGTTCCGCAGAGTCACAGTTTATACATGGTGAAACCAATAGGAACAAAACAGCTGTTGTCAACATGAGCCCAACACTGCTGCTGAGCAAAGTAAAACACTTGTCTATGAGATTGAAGGGCTGCTTCAGAACTTCCCATGCAGTGGATTTAAGCACACATCAGCAAATCAGTGAAAAGTACTGATACGTGGAACTAGTTACCCCCAACTGTGCTCTCAGCTATGGTACTCCCCTTGTTAAACCAAATTTACCAGAAAATTAAAAAAATTTACCCCCCCCCCCAGAAAACAAAAACACAGACACAACCTCTGGTAAAATTTGATTTGATATGCACTTTGAGTTTTTTGTTTGGCTCATCTTCCATTCACTATCATGGAGGAGGTGGGATTTTTGAATCCAGCCTCCAGGGGTGAATCACGTCACAATGGCTTCACTTCTTAGAGCGGTTAGCCTGTCCATCATTTTAACAGTCTGTGGGTGGGGCAACCCTCCCGTCTGTCACTCAAAGCTGCAACTCCCCTTAATTATGCATAATTAAGTATTCACATGTACACATGCCCTTATCGCTGGCAAATCAAATTATATCCACAGTTGTCTTTTGTATAAAAGTGCATTTCAGACAATAACGAATTTAAATGTTATTAAACTTTATATTTTGAAAGAACCTACAGTACAAAGGTGCATTGAAAAAATTTAGAGTTTAGGGTATGTTCATTTTTCATCTTTTACAATGAAAATACTAATTATGATTTTTAATTTCTTACATTTGTAGTAATGTCTGTCTGCTTTCTACACTGTGTCAGTGGATAATTCAGTATCCTGGTGACAAAAGTTAATGACATCAGCACATGAAATAGTTTGATACAGTTAAACACTGAATTATGTAAATAGCTAATTCATGGTCTTTCTGCTGTTTCACAATGAAAGAGCAAATATATAAATAGCAGGTCTCTCACAGTGCAGCTAATTTTAGAGAGCTGCACAGTTGATACTGTCTGATTTGACTTTGGTTACAACAGTTAGGATCAGTCAACTGTGCTATCCTTATATATTGAGGTGTTTTCTCTTCTTATATCCAGGAAAACAGACGATGAAACCAGAACAGAAATCTGCTGACAGATACATTGTCTATGAGACTTGTTTAAGTTATATATTTTTTGTTGTATTTTTTGGCAGTATGCGGTCATGGACACTTGTGATTATGGCATATGGCAATTTGCTCCCCTTTAACATACCTCCTTTTCCTCCTGCATTAATAGCACTGACATATATTTGCATTGCCATAGCACTAAGCAGGATTGCATCAGGAAAGGAATGAGTCAAAGCTTTTAAAACTTGTACTTCTCACTTGCTTATTGTGTCAATTTTTTTCCTTCCTAATCTTAGCACCAACATAGCTGCTCAGACCTTCTACATCCATTCAAATGCCAGGATCATAAACTATACTTTGATACACACTATACCACCTTTGCTCAATCCTCTTATATACTCTTTAAAAGAAGTGCTGAACTCTATTAAGAAAATTTGCAAGAACAATGGGATTAGCAGCATAAAGCTTTCCAAAGAAGTGACCTGTTTGTCACTGTCATATAATGAAACTGAAATCAGAGATATAAATATAATGAGAAGACCCTGCTTAAGATTCTAGTTATCCTGGAAATGACACCATCATCAGCTGATGTTTTTCAACACTTCACTATTAATATGTCAATAATAAATTACGTTGAACAGTTTAGAATGAATACACAATAAATAAGTTTGTTTACATATGTTTTCAAATCTAAGAAATGGCAGTTGATGAATTTTAATAGGTTAGAGGTCTCATAAGTCAAACATATCTGAATAAACTGAAATCAGAAACCTCTACTTCAACTTCCTCCATGTCTAACTTCACCCACAGACTTAGAGCTACGGTCTCCCACTGACAGGACATGATGTAACATCCACATTTTTGCACAAACCCAAAACTAACTTCTTTTGCACACAGTGGTGATGAGGAGATTTATCTCTCACATTGTGCCCTGCAGGGCCAGGACAGGAAATGCTGGAGCGTGTGCCTTGTATTTTGCTGCCCTACCAAACAGAACTAAAGTCATGTCCTGTGATCAGCTGTTTTTCAACCTGTACTGAAAACTGTGGATTACATCTCAGTTGTTCAATCGACATGTCAACAGATGCTATTGATACTGAGTAATTGTCAGAATTTGTGAGATACTTCAGCAGGGAATTTTTCAAAGAGGAGTTGCTGTAACTTTTACTGCTGAAGGCTGATTCTTTGAAAATAATTCTCTGGAGCTGAGTAAACTCAACCTCCTTGTAACTGACAATAGGCAATCTATCATAGGACAAGAGAGGGGCTTTGCACCAAATCTCATATCAGAACACCTGACAGTCAACTGCCTACACTGCAACATTCATCAGGCTGTTTTATGTACCAAATTGTCCAGTGAAATGAAAGCAATAAAGGTCTTCATTATTGTGTCTGTAGTACCACCTTTTCAAAATGGTGCTACAGGAGCAGGAGGCTCCATACTCTGACCTGTGATAGACACACACACAAAATAAATGTATGAATGAGTGTCGTAGTTTTTATGAACAGTCTGAAAGTGCTGCTCCACATTTCCCTTCGGAATAGTAGATTGGTAGATCAAGCAAACGCATTTTGAATATAATGTCGCGAAAAAAAAGTCCTCCCATTCCACATGGAATGTTTTCGGTACGTTTTCGGTTTCTTACTTGATTCGGCTCCCCCACTCATTTTATACCCTTTAGTAGACATTAATTCGAAGGCTGACAAGTTAGTTCGCTCACTGGAGTTTTGCATTAGCTCGTGCTGTTGACTGTGCATGTTTGGTGACTCGTGTCAGAAAAGACGAGATCTCAGACTGGCTGCCCTGCATGTCAGTCAAGTAGCAAATGCCATAGGGAGGATGGATGATAGGCTATATATAAATGATTGGCACTTTCTGCTTTTGTTGTTAGGGGTCGCCATAGCGAATCATCACACTGACCAATCGCATGTTAACATTTGGCATGTGTTTTACGCCGGATACATTTAATTTATTTTTGAATGGCACGCGATCTACCGACACTACCTTTGTGACATACCGGTCGATCGCGATCGACATATTGGGCACCCCTAATGTAGAAGCCTGGAGGATGAATGATAACAGAGTCAATTAACACAGTCCTGAAAAATGACATATTGAACTCCACAAGCTGTGTGTTGGAGGAGGGCCTCTGCCTAAAAGCTCTCCAGTCTAAAGAACAGGCATGCATGTGTGACCCCTGGACAGTGGAAGATATACTTTCCTCATCAATCCCCAAAGCTTCCCTGTGACACAGAGAAAGTCTTTTTTTTTATTGAAACAAAGTAACACATTAACAAAACAGTACCAAACATGGGAGACAAGACAACAGTTACATGACATTACAAAAGGATATAGAGTGTTTAACCAGGTTGTAGTGTGTGAGATGTCACACACAATATAGATACCATTTCTCATCAGAATTAATTTGACAGGTCGCCCTGCCCCCTAGTCCCGCCTCCCAGCCAATCAGAATTGTTCTTCCGGTTCTTAGTTCCACGTGGGTACCCGTCCCGCCCCCTTGGATCTGTTGACAGAGATAAGGAAGTTGTGGTTAGCTACCGGTTAACTGGATAACTGTATAGGATTGATATTAAAGATATCTGATGTAGCCCCACCCAACATATGGTTGTATAGATAACTATATAACTATATTTGATACCCGTTACAGCCCCACCCCACATATGCTTGTATAGATAAGTATATAACGGTTAACTGTATAACTGTATTTGATAGATAATAAAGGGTGTATCCATACAAACCGTTGTCTTATCAGCAAGCACATACTCACGCATGTTTTTTTATAAAAAGGGTGGGTTATTCACAGGCTTCTAGAGCAAAAAAAGTTTTTTAATTCAGCAATTAGGCTGTATTAACGTCCGAGAAAGGAAAAAAAAAGGCTTTTCCTTCTTACCCGCATGAGAAATTGGATGGAGTCATCAGCAACACTCCAGTGATTATCACGGAGCAGTCAGATGTAACCAATGCGCCAAAGAAAGCAACTATGCATCTGGTTCGTATTCAGAAGCCCTCCACAGTTTCTCTTTGAGGTGAAATCAAGCTACAATTGGGGTATTTCGGCTATGTGTTTCACTACACTACTGGAGAACTGTCTTTTTACCAGCTGCAAGAGGGTGAGACTTTTGCCCCGGAGACTATTAAAACCCCGATCACCGCTAGCGACTGGGGTATTATAAAATGTCTAGTTATAGAATACCTTAAGGAGTGTTTTGAAAATTCAAGCCGTGATG